TTGTCCTCTCCAGATCTGTGAAGAATTTTGATGGGATCTTGATGGGGATTGCATTGAATCTATAAATTGCCTTTGGTAGAATTGCCATTTTTACTATGTTGATCCTCCCAATCCAAGAGCAAGGGAGGTCCATCCATTTTTTGGTATCCTCTTCAATTTCTTTCTTCAATGCCTTAAAGTTCTTGTCAAATAGATCTTTCACTTCCTTGGTTAGATTTACCCCAAGATATTTTATGCTGTTTTTGGCTATTGTGAATGGTGAAGCTTCTCTGATTTCCCTCTCTGCTTCCCTATCCTTTGTGTATAAGAGGGCGACTGATTTTTTGGAGTTGATCTTGTATCCTGCCACATTACTAAAGCTGTTTATCAGCTGTAAAATTTCTTTGGTGGAGTTTTTGGGGTCGCTTAAGTACACTATCATATCATCTGCAAATAACGAAAGTTTAACTTCTTCCTTTCCAATTTGAATCCCCTTGATCCCATTATGTTGTCTTATTGCTATTGCTAGAACTTCAAGTACTATATTGAAGAGGTATGGAGAGAGTGGACATCCTTGTCGTGTTCCTGAGTTAAGCAGGATGGCTTTGAGTTTCTCTCCGTTTAATTTGATGTTAGCTGTCGGCTTGCTGTATATAGCTTTTATTATATTTAGGTATGACCCTTGTATCCCTAATCTCTCCAAGACTTTTAACATAAATGGATGTTGAATTTTGTCGAATGCTTTTTCAGCATCTAATGAGATGATCATATGGTTATTTTCCTTCAGTTTATTTATATGCTGGATTACATTGATAGATTTTCGTATGTTGAACCAGCCCTGCATCTCAGGAATGAAGCCTACTTGATCATAATGGATAATTTTCCTAATGTGTTCTTGGATTAGGTTTGCCAGTATTTTGTTGAGGATTTTTGCGTCGATGTTCATGAGTGAGATTGGCCTGTAATTCTCTTTCCTGGTTGAGTCTTTGTGTGGTTTTGGTATCAGAGTAACTGTAGCTTCATAAAAGGAATTAGGTAATGACCCTTCTGTTTCTATATTGTGGAATACATTAAGGAGTATGGGTATTAGCTCTTCTTGGAAGTTCTGATAGAATTCCGCATTGAAACCATCTGGTCCTGGGCTTTTTCTGGTAGGGAGGTTTTTGATAACAGCTTCTAATTCTTCGCAACCAACAGGTCTGTTTAGATTGTTCACCTGGTCCTGGTGTAACTTTGGTATATGGTATTTATCTAAAAAAGTGTCCATTTCTTTTACATTTTCCAGTTTTGTGTTATACAGGCTTTTGTAATATGATCTGATGATTCTCTGAATTTCCTCTGTGTCTGTGGTTATGTCCCCCTTTTCATTTCTGATCTTATTAATTTGCGTATTCTCTCTCTGCCGTTTGATAAGTTTGGATAGGGGTTTATCAATCTTGTTGATTTTCTCCAGGAACCAGCTTTTTGTTTCATTGATTCTTTGGATTGTTTTCTGTGTTTCTATTTTGTTGATTTCAGCCCTCAGTTTGATTATTTCCAATCTTCTACTCCTCCTAGGTGAGTCTGCTTCTTTTTTTCTAGAGCTTTCAGGTGGGCTGTTAAGTCTTCAATATGTGCTTTCTCTGTTTTCTTTAAGTGGGCACTTAGTGCGATGAACTTTCCTCTTAGCACTGCTTTCATAGTGTCCCATAAGTTCGAGTATGTTGTTTCTTTATTTTCATTGAATTCAAGGAAGACTTTAATTTCTTTCTTTATTTCTTCCTTCCTTAATCCAGGTATGGTTCAGAAGTTGACTGTTCAGTTTCCATGAGTTTGTAGGCTTTCTGGGGGTAGCATTGTTGTTGAATTCTAACTTTAATCCATGGTGATCTGATAAGACACAGGTGGTTACTAATATTTTTTTTGTAACTGTGTAAGTTAGCTTTGTTACCGAGTATGTGGTCAATTTTCGAGAAGGTTCTATGAGCTGCAGAGAAGAAGGTATATTCTTTCCTCTTCGGGTGGAATAATCTATAGATGTCTGTTAAGTCCATTTGCTTCATTACCTCCATTAATTCTCTAATTTCTCTGTTAGGTTTCTGTTTGATTGACCTGTCCATTGGTTAGAGAGGAGTGTTGAAGTCTCCTACTATTAGTGTGTGTGGTTTGATGGCTGCCTTGAATTTTAGTAATGTTTCTTTTACATACGTGGGCGCTTTTATATTTGGGGCATAGATATTCAGGATTGAGACTTCATCCTGATGAATTGTTCCTGTTATGAGTATAAAATGTCCCTCTCCATCTCTTCTGATTGATTTAAGTTTGAAGTCAACTTTGTTAGAAATTAGTATGGCCACACCTGCTTGTTTCTTAGGACCATTTGCTTGATAAGCCTTTTCCCAGCCCTTTACTCTGAGTAGGTGCCTGTCTTTGTGGTTGAGGTGTGTTTCTTGTAGACAGCAGAACGTTGGATCTTGTTTTCGTATCCAATCCCTTAGCCTGTGCCTTTTTATAGGTGAGTTGAGCCCATTGACATTAAGTGATATTAATGACCAGTGGTTGTTAACTCCGGTCACTTTTTTAGTAGTAGGGTTTGTGTGTTTCCCTTCTTTGAGTTGCGCTGGTGAAAGGTCTCTAGATGACTGAGTTATTGTGGTCATTGTTGGACTCCTTGGTTAGTGATTTTCCTTCTATAATTTTCTGTAAGGCTGGATTTGTGGCTACGTATTGTTTGAATTTGTTTTTATCCTGGAAAATTTTGTTTTCTCCATTTATAGTGAACGAAAGCCTGGCTGGATATAGTAGTCTGGGCTTGCATCCATGATCTCTTTGTTTTTGCAGTACATCTATCCAGGACCTTCTGGCTTTCATGGTTTCCATAGAGAAGTCAGGTGTAAGTCTGATAGGTTTACCTTTATAAGTAACTTGGCCTTTTTCCTTTGCGGCTCTTAATATTCTTTCTTTATTCTGTGTATTTTGTGTTTTGATTATTATATGGCGAGGGGATGTTTTTTTTTTTTTTGATCCAGCCTATTTGGTGTTCTGTATGCTTCTTGAACCTTCATAGGTACCTCTTTCTTCAGGTTGGGAAAGTTTTCTTCTATAATTTTATTAAGTATATTTTCTGTACTGTTGAGCTGCACTTCTTCTCCTTCTTCTACTCCAATTATTCTTAGGTTTGGTCTTTTTATTGTGTCCCAAATTTCCTGAATGTTTTGTGATGAGAATTTGTTGGTTTTGCTGTTTTCTTTGATCAGTGTGTTTATTTTTTCTATGGTATCTTCAGTGTCTGATATTCTCTCTTCTATCTCTTGTAATCTGTTGTTAGTACTTGTTTCTGTCATTCCTGTTCGTTTACCCAGATTTTCCATCTCCATTCTTCCCTCGGTTTGTGCTTTCTTCATTGCTTCCATTTCATTTTTCATGTCTTGAACCGCTTCCCTAACCTGTTTGATTGCTTTTTCTTGTTTCTCTTGGTTTTCTTGCGTGTCTTTGAGCGATTTATTCATTTCCTCTACCTTTTTGTTTGTAATCTCTAATTGTTTATGGCAGTTTTTCACCTCCTGTTTAAGGTCCTCTATTATTTTCATATAGTTCACTTTTGAGTCGATTTCTTCTATTTCTTCAGGAGTAGGGTGTACAATTCTTCTTATTTCGGGATCCCTGGTTTCTGGTGGTGTCATGTTGCCTTTCAGATTGTTGGAGGAATTCTTGTATTGGCGCCTTCCCATCTCTTCCTTCAAATGGAGCCAGGAGAGGCCTGGTCTCTTGGTCCAGACTTTGCTGTGATTGACTCTCAGGGTATATCTCTTCAGTGTAGAAGCAGGAACCGTTCCCGTCCAGATGGGATTCCTCCGCAACTGTCCCGTCCTGATGGGATTCCTCAGCAACTAAACAGGGCCGCCGGTAGCCCAATGATCCAGGGCCAACAGGATGAATGGAGCAGGGGGGGAGGTGGTATCCAGGAGCGCTCAGGAAGCCTGGCGCCGGAGCTGGAGGTGCCCTGCTCCCTTACAGGGGACCCTGAGGCCTGCCCGGCTGGCAGGCACTCACCGCTCTGGGTGGGTCGCCTTAGTTTAGGAGCTTAAGACTGTAGTTGAGCACTGGTCCTAGCATACAGCGAGGCAGGGTTGGGGAGGGGTGCTGGGTCGTGCGAAAGAAAGACAGCCCTGCAGAAGGAGCTGGGGGAGGGGGTTTGTGCTCTCTTCCGGGACAGTCCGCCCGCCCCTGGGTAGCACACACTCACCCGTCCTGATGGGATTCCTCAGCAACTAAACAGGGCCGCCGGTAGCCCAATGATCCAGGGCCAACAGGATGAATGGAGCAGGGGGGGGGGGGTGGTATCTCCTTTCTTTTTTATTGTTTTCATTGAGCTGTACATTTTCGCTGTTCCCTTCCCTTCCTTCTGTCTCCCCTTTTTTTGTTGGGAGACTTTTGATGACTGTTTCTATTTCTTCAGCAGTTATAGGCCTGTTTAATTTGCTTATCTGGTCTTGATTTAATTTTGGCAAGTGATATTTATCCAGAAAATTGTCAATTTCCTTTAAGTTTTCCAATTTTGTGGAGTACAGATTTTTGAAGTATGACCTGACAATTCTCTGGATTTCCTCTGTGTCTGTTGTTATGTCCCCCTTTTCATTTCTAATTTTGTTTTTTTTTGTTTATTTTTTTTTTGCATTTCAACTTTTATTTGAAAACAACTTAAATTTTTAGACAAATGATTTTAGTATATAAATTTGATTTTGCTTTTATACAGAATATAAAGATTTCCCTCATTAATCTTCCATGTGAAGGGGATTACAGGCCAGAAGAAAGACACACTCTGCACACAAAGTACACCTCATATGTGTGGCACCGGAGACAAACAGTGTCATGCTCCTGCACATAAATTAGGACCAAGTGGTGACATCACACATTAAGGGGGAAGAGAAAGATTCTAGCCAATCAGATTCAAGAAGCAAACAGGACACAGAATCTGCAAATAAGACCAAGACAGCAACTTTAGTCAGGACAGTGCAGGTCTATGGGGCTTGTGAGGCTACCATGTGTATAGGGACGCAACAAGGAGAGTTAGGTAGAGAGGCTCAACGAGGGAGTTTTCACTAAAGCAAATGAAAAACTTCTTGTCAACTGCCAAAACAAAACAAAATGAAAGGGAGCCTGTGAGTGTTAGAACACCCAGGGCGTGTTAGAGCAGCGCCCGTGCAGCATGCTAAGTTAGTTACAGCTTCTTCATTGGTGTGGAGCAATCATTAATGGTCTCGTTTTGCCTCTTCTTTCCAAACTCAGGCATGTCTTATTTTAGATGGAGTATAGCTTTTATCTATTATTTCATCCTGTAAAAACATGTGAAGACAACGTTCATTCTGGGCCAGAGGATGTTTTTTTTTTTTTTATTAAGAAAAGAAGAAAAAAAAACATAAACAAAAAACAAGTTTCCACCTCCTCCCAGCCTCCCATTTCCCTCCCCCTCCTCCCACCCTTCTCCCCCTCCTCCCACCCTTCTCCCCCTCCCGCCACTCCTCTCCCCCTCCCTCTCCAGTCCACAGAGCAGTCCGGGTTCCCTGCCCTGTGGTAAGTCCTAGGTCCTCCCCCCTCCGTCCATATCTAGGAAGGTGAACATCCAAACTGGCTAGGCTTCCACAAAGCCAGCACATTAAGTAGGATCAAAACCCCGTGCCATTGTCCTTGGCGTCTCATCAGCCCTCATTGTTCGCCATGTTCAGAGAGTCCGGTTTTATCCCATGCTTTTTCGGTCACAGTCCAGCTGGCCTTGGTGAGCTCCCAGTAGATCAGCTCCACTGTCTCAGTGGGTGGGTGCATCCCTCGTGGTCCCGACTTCTTTGCTCATGTTCTCCCTCCTTCTGCTCCTCATTGGGACCTTGGGAGTTCAGTCCAGTGCTCATGTGTGGGTCTCTGTCTCTATCTCTATCCATCACCAGATGAAGGTTCTATGATGATATGCAAGATATTCGTCAGTATTGCTCTAGGATAGGGTCATTTCAGGTTCCCAATCCTCAGCTGCCCAAGGAACTAACTGGGAACCTCATGTTGGGCACTTGGGAGCCCCTCTAGGGTCAAATCTCTTGCTCACCCTAAAGTGGATCCCTTAACTAAGAATTGTGGTTCCGTGCTCCCCTATCCACCTTTCCTTTATCCCAATTCTCCTGATTCCCCAAGTCCCCCCTCCTTCCCTTCTACCTTTTCTCTCCCCATCTCCCCTTACCCCCATCCCACCGCACCCCCAAGATCCTAATTTTCTCCCCGGCAATTTGGTCTACTTCCCTTAGCCAAGAGGATAACTGTATGTTTTTCCTTGGGTTCACCTTCTTACTTAGCTTCTTTAGGTTCACCTATTGTAGACTCTGTGGCCCTTATTTATGGCTAGAAACCAATTATGAGCGAGTACATCCCATGTTCATCTTTTTGGGACTGGGACACCTCACTCAGGATAGTGTTTTCTATTTCCATCCATTTGCATGCAAAATTCGAGAAGTCATTGCTTTTTACCGCAGCGTAGTACACTAGCGTGTATATATTCCATACTTTCTTCATCCATTCTTCCATTGAAGGGCATCTAGGTTGTTTCCAGGTTCTGGCTATTACAAATAATACTGCTATGAACATAGTTGAACAAATGCTTTTGTCATATGATAGAGCATCTCTTGGGTATATTCCCAGGAGTGGTATTGCTGGGTCCAGGGGTAAGTTGATCCCGAATTTCCTGAGAAACCGAAACACTGACTTCCACAGTGGTTGCACAAGATTGCATTCCCACCAGCAATGGATGAGGGTACCCCTTCCTCCACAGCCTCTCCAGCAAAGGTTATCCTTGGTGTTTTTGAATTTAGCCATTCTGACAGGTGTAAGATGATATCTCAAAGTTGTTTTGATTTGCATTTCCCTGATTGCTAAGGAAGTTGAGCACGACTTGAAGTGTCTTTTGGCCATTTGAACTTCCTCTGCTGAGAATTCTCTGTTCAGTTCAGTGCCCCATTTTTTAATTGGGTTAATTAGCATTTTAAAGTCTAGTTTCTTGAGTTCTTTATATATTTTGGAGATCAGACCTTTGTCTGTTGTGGGGTTGGTGAAGATCTTCTCCCAGTCAGTAGGTTGCCTTTGTGTCTTAGTGACTATGTCCTTTGCTTTACAGAAGCTTCTCAGTTTAAGTAGGTCCCATTTATTCAATGTTGCCCTTAATGTCTGTGCTTCTGGGGTTATACATAGGAAGCGATCTCCTGTGCCCATCTCTTGTAGGGTACTTCCCACTTTCTCTTCTATCAGGTTCAGTGTGTTCGGGCTGATATTGAGGTCTTTAATCCATTTGGACTTGAGTTTTGTGCACGGTGATAGATATGTGTCTATTTTCATTCTTCTACAGGATGACATCCAGTTGTGCCAGCACCATTTGTTGAAGATGCTTTCTTTCTTCCATTGTATACTTTTAGCTCCTTTATCAAAAATGAGGTGTTCATAGGTTTGTGGGATAAAATCCGGGTCTTCTATACGATTCCATTGGTCGACTTCTCTGTTTTTATGCCAGTACCACACTGTTTTCATTACTGTAGCTCTGTAATAGAGTTTGAAGTCAGGGATGGTAATGCCTCCAGAAGATCCTTTATTGTATAGGATTGTTTTGGCTATCCTGGGTTTTTTGTTTTTCCATATAAAGTTGATTATTGTCCTCTCCAGATCTGTGAAGAATTTTGATGGGATCTTGATGGGGATTGCATTGAATCTATAAATTGCCTTTGGTAGAATTGCCATTTTTACTATGTTGATCCTCCCAATCCAAGAGCAAGGGAGGTCCATCCATTTTTTGGTATCCTCTTCAATTTCTTTCTTCAATGCCTTAAAGTTCTTGTCAAATAGATCTTTCACTTCCTTGGTTAGATTTACCCCAAGATATTTTATGCTGTTTTTGGCTATTGTGAATGGTGAAGCTTCTCTGATTTCCCTCTCTGCTTCCCTATCCTTTGTGTATAAGAGGGCGACTGATTTTTTGGAGTTGATCTTGTATCCTGCCACATTACTAAAGCTGTTTATCAGCTGTAAAATTTCTTTGGTGGAGTTTTTGGGGTCGCTTATGTACACTATCATATCATCTGCAAATAACGAAAGTTTAACTTCTTCCTTTCCAATTCGAATCCCCTTGATTCCATTATGTTGTCTTATTGCTATTGCTAGAACTTCAAGCACTATATTGAAGAGGTATGGCGAGAGTGGACAGCCTTGTCGTGTTCCTGAGTTAAGTGGGATGGCTTTGAGTTTCTCTCCGTTTAATTTGATGTTAGCTGTCGGCTTGCTGTATATAGCTTTTATTATATTTAGGTATGACCCTTGTATCCCTAATCTCTCCAAGACTTTTAACATAAATGGATGTTGAATTTTGTCAAATGCTTTTTCAGCATCTAATGAAATGATCATATGGTTTTTTTCTTTCAGTTTATTTATATGCTGGATTACATTGATAGATTTTCGTATGTTGAACCAGCCCTGCATCTCAGGAATGAAGCCAACTTGATCATAATGGATAATTTTTCGGATGTGTTCTTGGATTCGATTTGCCAGTATTTTGTTGAGGATTTTTGCGTCGATATTCATGAGTGAGATTGGCCTGTAGTTCTCTTTCCTGGTTGAGTCTTTGAGTGGTTTTGGTATCAGAGTAATTGTGGCTTCATAAAAGGAGTTTGGTAATGACCCTTCTGTTTCTATATTGTGGAATACATTAAGGAGTATAGGTATTAGATCTTCTTGGAAGATCTGGTAGAATTCCGCATTGAAACCATCTGGTCCTGGGCTTTTATTGGTAGGGAGGTTTTTGATAACCTCTTCTAATTCTTCGCGACTAACAGGTCTATTTAGATTGTTCACCAGGTCCTGATTTAACTTTGGTATATGATATTTATCTAAAAAAGTATCCATTTCCTTTACATTTTCCAATTTTGTGGCATATAGGCTTTTGTAGTAAGATCTAATGATTCTCTGAATTTCCTCTGTGTCTGTGGTTATGTCCCCCTTTTCATTTCTGATCTTATTAATTTGCAAATTCTCTCTCTGCCGTTTGATTAGCTTGGATAGTGGTTTGTCAATCTTGTTGATTTTCTCCAGGAACCAGCTTTTTGTTTCATTGATTTTTTGTATTGTTTTCTGTGTTTCTATTTTGTTGATTTCAGCCCTCAGTTTGATTATTTCCAGTCTTCTACTCCTCCTAGGTGAGTCTGCTTCTTTTTTTTCTAGAGCTTTCAGGTGGGCTGTTAAGTCTCCAATGTGAGCTTTCTCTGTTTTCTTTAAGTGGGCACTTAGTGCTATAAACTTTCCTCTTAGGACTGATTTCATAGTGTCCCATAAGTTTGAGTATGTTGTTTCTTTATTTTCATTGAATTCCAGGAAGACTTTAATTTCTTTCTTTATTTCTTCCTTAATCCAGGTATGGTTCAATAGTTGACTGTTCAGTTTCCATGAGTTTGTCTTCTTTCTGGAGGTAGCATTGTTGTTGAATTCTAACTTTAATCCGTGGTGATCTGATAAGACACAGGTGGACACTGATATTTTTTTGTATCTGTGGAGGTTTCCTTTGTTTCCGAGTATGTGGTCAATTTTCGAGAAGGTTCCATGAGCGGCAGAGAAGAAGGTATATTCTTTCCTATTTGGATGGAATGTTCTATAGATGTCTGTTAAGTCCATTTGATTCATTACCTCCATTAATTCTCTTATTTCTCTGTTAGGTTTCTGTCTGATTGACCTGTCCATTGGTGAGAGAGGAGTGTTGAAGTCTCCTACTATTAGTGTGTGCAGTTTGATGGCTGCCTTGAATTTTAGCAATGTTTCTTTTATGTACGTGGGTGCTTTTATATTAGGGGCATAGATGTTCAGGATTGAGACTTCATCCTGATGAACTGTTCCTGTTATGAGTATAAAATGCCCCTCTCCATCTCTTCTGATTGATTTAAGTTTAAAGTCAACTTTGTTAGAGATTAGTATGGCCACACCTGCCTGTTTCTTAGGTCCATTTTCTTGATAGGCCTTTTCCCAGCCCTTTACTCTGAGTAGGTGCCTGTCTTTGTGGTTGAGGTGTGTTTCTTGTAAACAGCAGAATGTTGGATCCTGTTTTCTTATCCAATCTCTTAGCCTGTGCCTTTTTATAGGTGAGTTGAGTCCATTGACATTAAGTGATATTAAAGACCAGTGGTTGTTAACTCCGGTCATTTTTTTTTAGTCGGAGAGTTTGTGTGTTTCCCTTCTTTGTTTTGTGTTGGTGAAGGGTCTCTAGATGTCTGAGTTATTGTGATCATTGTTGGACTCCTTGGTTAGTGATTTTCCTTCAATTACTTTCTGTAAAGCTGGATTTGTGACTGCGTATTGTTTAAATTTGTTTTTATCCTGGAAAATTTTATTTTCTCCATTTATAGTGAATGAAAGCTTGGCTGGGTATAGTAATCTGGGCTTGCACCCATGGTCTCTCAGTTTCTGCAGTACATCTATCCAGGACCTTCTGGCTTTCATGGTTTCCATGGAGAAGTCAGGTGTAAGTCTGATAGGTTTACCTTTATAAGTAATTTGGCCTTTTTCCTTTGCAGCTCTTAATATTCTTTCCTTATTCTGTATGCTTTGTGTTTTGATAATCATATGGCGAGGGGATGTTTTTTTTTGATCCAGCCTATTCAGTGTTCTGTATGCTTCTTGCACCTTCATAGGAAAATCTTTCGTTAGGTTGGGAAAGTTTTCTTCTATAATTTTATTAAATATATTTTCTGGACCATTGAGCTGCCCTTCTTCTCCTTCTTCTACTCCTATTATTCTTAGGTTTGGTCTTTTTATTGTGTCCCATATTTCCTGAATGTTTTGTGATGAGAGTTTGTTGGACTTGCTGTTTTCTTTGATCAGTGTGTTTATTTTCTCTATGGTATCTTCAGAATCCGTGAGTCTTTCTTCTATCTCTTGTATTCTGCTGGTTATGCTTGTTTCTGTAGTCTCTATTCGTTTACCTAGATTTTCCATGTCCAGCCGGCCCTCTGTGTTTTCTTCTTTGCCTCCATTTCAGTTTTCAGGTCTTGAACTGTTTCCATTATCTGTTTGATTGTTTTTCCTTGGTTTTCTAGGGTATCATTCACTGATTTATTCAATTCTTCAAACTTTCTGTTATATTTCTCATCCATTTCTATAAGGGCGTTTTTTACATGCTGTTTAAGGGTGTCAATCACTTTCATGAAGTCAATCTTTTCTCCTTCCTCTTGATTAAGGGGTTCTTGTCCTCCCGTTGTGAGGTCGCTTGTTTCTGGTGGCTTCATGTTGCTTTTCAGCTTGTTGGGCGAATTCTTGCCTTGACGTCGGCCCATCTCTTCTTCCAAATGCTCCCTATGGATCTTCTTTTAGTGGATCAGGTCTCCTTGCCTACCAAATGCTGTCTCTCCTCAATGTTGGCTCTCTGGCGACGAGAGATCAGGCCTCCGTGCTGGTTGGGCAGCTCGCAAACAAAGCACCTACCCCGCTTGGTGCAGGCAGGCCACAGAAACAAAGGAACTGCTGCCCGCCCGGGAGCCCCTAGTACTCGGACCCAGTGCCCAGATAGGCGATGCCACGCGCCAAAAGAGGGCTGTGGGGCCGAAGTGGGGAGGGCTCTGGACGGAAGCTGGGTGGGCCAGGAAGAAAGAGGCAGCACCCGGGGAGTAGAGGCCCTGCAGAGAGCCCAAGAAAGACAGGGGGCCAAGAAACCCCCGAGCTCCCCGTCCCAGGCTGGCGCCGTGGGCCAGAAACTCACCCCAATGCTGGGTCTCCTGGCGCCGAAAGATCAGGCCTCCGTGCTGGTTGGGCAGCTCGCAGACAAAGCGCCTACCTCGCTTGGTGCAGGCAAGCCACAGAAACAAAGGAACTGCTGCCCACCCGGGAGCCCCGAGTACTCGGACCCAGCGCCCAGATAGGCTGGGCTGCCAGAGGATGTTTATAAACTGTTCCAGCCCTTGCTTCCTTTCCTCGATGAAATTGTCATCAAATATTCCATCGTCTCCTCTAAAAGGAAGCTGCCACAAAAACGCTTTCCCAGGGAGTGGGGGAGCTACAACCTTGCTCTCTCTTTCTAGTTCACTTCGAAGCCACTCAAAGTCACTGTATCTTCTTCTAACAGTAGATTCCTTCAGCTTGAAGATAGGAAGATTTGTCTTGACCCTGATCTCGTAGGTGGTGAAGCGCCCCAGCCGACCCCCACGGTCTGCGGGTTGCTCACATCGATCTTGAGGAAGTTGCTGGGCGGCCCATAGGCGTCGTTCAGGTTCTGCGGCTTGGTGATCAGCCGCCAGGTGTCTGCTATGGTCTCCGCCATTTCGCTGTGCCATTTCTGATTTTGTTAATTTGGATATTCTCTCTCTCTGCCTTTTGGTGAGTTTGGATAAAGGTTTGTCTATTTTTTTTATTTTCTCAAAGAACCAACATTTTGTCTCACTGATTCTTTGTATTATTTTCTTTGTTTCTATTTTGTTGATTTTAGCTATCAATTTGATTATTTCCTGTCATCTAGCACTCCTAGGTGAGTTTGCTTTTTTTTTTCTAGAGCTTTCAGGTAGCCTGTTAACTCGCTAGTGTGGGGTTTTCCCATATTATTTATGTAGACATTTAGTACTATAAACTTTCCTCTTACCACTGCTTTCATTTTGTCCCATAAATTTGAGTATGTTGTGCAGTACTTTTCATTGAATTTTAGGAAGTCTTTATTTTCTTTATTTCCTCTTGACCCATTGGTGATTCAAATGAGCACTGTTCAGTTTCCATGTGTTTGTGGGCTTTCTGAAATAGTGTTGCTGTTGATTTCTAACTTTAAGCTATGGTGATCCGATAAGATACAGTCATTCTAGAGATCTGTCTAGAGACTTTCCCAAAAACTAGCACTAGATCTACCATAGGGTCCATATTTGATGTTAGGATTTCTCTGGTTAGGTCTGATTCTATCTACTTTCTTTTTATTTTTTTATTCATCTAGTTGGTTTTTGGTTTTGTGCTCTTTTATTCTGCTTTCTCTTGGGTTGTGGGATCTATTAATGATTTAAGTCTTTGAAGATTTATTCATTCTTAGCTATCTATTAGACATTGCTTTGTTATTTTAACAATTGCTTTAAAGAGTATTACATATACCTTTATATTAACCAAATATAATTTCACAATTGTGCATGTTCTGGGTATGGTGGTCTACACAAAGAGTTTCATGAGAGCCATAGAGAGATCCTGTCTCAAAAAAATTGAAAATATAAAATATCAGGCAGGAGCTAAGACTCTTACACATTCACATATCTATCCCAGCTTTCATAATTTTATTGTCAGACATGCTATTTCTTTTTAAATTTTATTGAAAAGAGATTCTCCTCTCATACAATGTATTCCGCCCAGCCAGCTCCCCCTCCACAGCTTCTGTCTTTCCCAGATCCACTCCTCCTCTGCTTCCCTTCAGAAAAGGGCAGCTGTCCCAGGGCTATCAACCAAACATGACATAACAAGTTACAATAGGACTAGGCACAAACCCTCCTATCAAGACTGGTCAAGGCAACCCAGTAGGAGGAGAAGCATCTCAAGAGCAGGCGAGTCAGGTACACTCCCCATCCCACTTTTAGAAGTCCTACAGAAACACCAAGCCAACAGGTACAATATTTATGCAGAGGACCTGGTGCAGACTCATGCAGGCCCCATACTTGCTACTTTAGTCTCTGTGAGCCCTTATGAGTGCTGCTTAGTTGATTTGGTGGACCATGTTCTCCTGTTTTCTTCCATCCTCTCTGACTCATGCCATCTTTTCTTTCCCTCTTCTGCCATGTTCCCCAGTCTCTGAGGGGAGGGACCCAACAGAGACCTCCAATTTAGTCTCTCTCTCTCTCTCTCTCTCTCTCTCTCTTTCTTCTCTCTGCATAATGTCTGGTTGTAGGTCTCTGTGCCAGTTCCCATCTGCTGCCAAAAAAGCCTCTTCTATGATGACTGGACAAGGCACCGGTCCATGAGTATAGCAGAATATATCATTAGGAATCATCTCATTGATTGTTGTTTTGTTTTCAAACAGCTGTGTTTGGTTCTACCCTGGGTCTCTGGTCTATCCAGCTTCCATATCTGAAGCTGTCATCAAGGCAGTGCAGGGCATGGGCTCCCTCTCATGGCTTGGGCCTCAAGTTAGCCTTACTTGGCCACCCGAACATGTTCTGTGCCACCATTGCCCCAGTGCACATTGCTGGAAGGGCAGATTATAGGTGGAAGATTTGCTGCTGGATTGATGTCCATGTTTCTCTTTCCATAGCCTGCAGAGCACCTACCTTTCCACACCAAAAGGACCAGAACATAGGGGTGAATTCTCCATGCCCACACAAGCTCGAACTTTCTACAGTCAGTAAACATAGTAGATGTTGTCCTCAGAAATGGGGCTCCACTTTCAGTTTTCAGAGATGGTTTTTATGGCCTAACACCACCTGGATTTTAGGGATCTTCACAGGGCCCTTTTGGCCAGCAGCTCAAAGGAATGTATCTCAGTCCCAACACTGGAAGCCATGCCTAGCTACAAAAGAAGGCCAGTTCAGACTCCATAGCCTCCGTTACTAGGAGTCCTCACTAGGGTCACACTCATAAACTCCAGGAAGTTTCCACTGCACTACGCTTCCACACATGCCCAATGCTCCCCCAATCCTAGTAGTTTTTACCCGCATTCTCCTCCTTCATCCTTTCTTCCCACCTGATCCTTCCCCCTTTATCCCTATCCTCCTCCAGTCCACCTGCAAAATTCATTCTATTTCCCCTTCCTCTGGAGCCCTCCTCTCTACCTGACCTCTCAAGGTCTGTGGATTGTAGCTTGATTTTCATTAACTGTTAATACTCACTTGTAAGTAAATACATAATGCCATATTTGTCTTTTTAGGTCTGTGTTAACTTATTCAGTGTGATATTTTTTTCTAGTTACATCCAATTGCCTGTAAAATTCATAATTTCATGACCCTTACCCAGGACCATGCCATCCCATCTCATCCCTGGACCCTCTGCTGGGTCCTTCCCCAACCCCAGAAGACTTCTGACAAACAGGCCCAGACTACACCAGCAAGACCAGGTTAGTAAGCTATACCCTTCCTTGAACTCTTTACCTTCCTACCTTTCCCCAGGCCCACACCATCACAACTCATCCAGGGCCCCACTATTACTCAACCCTGCCCCCAATCCCAGAAAACTTCTGCCAATGAAAAGTAGACCATACCAGCCAGAACCCGAACTCAGAGTAACCTTCTTGTTTTGTGGACTGTCCCTCCCATCTCAGCACCAGCATCACTGCTGGCCCCTATGTCCAGCCCCACTGCTCTGGATCAGCCCTCACCCATTGATGAGTAGGTGAGGAACCACCTGCCAACTACTGCCACACCACCCTAGATTATGCATCCCAAGAACCACAGCATAGCCCAACCCCTCCCATCTCATCATCTTCTACTTGGCCAGTAATTCCCCACAATTCCAGCAGACTCCATAGGTACAGATATGATCCACACCAGTTAGAAGAACAGGTGAGTGAGCTGCCTCCCAAATGAGCTGCTCCAATCACCAGATTCTCTATTACCAGGATGCATCCTATGGCCCGCCTCCTCCCATCTCAGCACCAGCATCACTGCTGAGCTCTGCCCCCAACTCCAGCAGACACTTACTGCTCTGTTATAGTCCTCACTAGTTGAGGAATAAGTGAGTGATCCACCTGCCAGCTGGACTGCCACTACCACCCCTGGATTTTGCTCCCTCAAGAACCACACTACTGCCCAACCCTTCCCACCTCATCATCCTCCCCACAACTAGCACTTTCGCACAACTCCAGCAGACTCCTTAAGCTCAGGAACAGTCTACATAAGTCTGAAGAGCTTTTCCAGAAGCCAGGTTGGTCATAGGCACTACAGAAGATATTGTGCCAGCACTGCCTGGATGCTGAGACTGGCGGGGGTGCTGGGATTGAGACACGGAGGCTTCTTCTCGGGTAAAAGAACAACAACCTTTATTTTTCCCCAAGCTAAAGTCTTTTATACCTTTATTGCTTCTGTGGAAAACCACCAGCCAGACAGAACACAAACATCCTTGTCAATTACAGACCACAAGGAAGTTACCCTGTCAGTCACGAGGAGTGAGGGCATCTAGATCACAACAAGAAGAAAACTCAGGCCAGGCCAGATCTAGAAACCCAAGAAGACTTTGGCTTTACTGAAGGCCAGACCAGATCAAGGAACCCAAGGTCCCCAAAACTCCACCAGAGATACCCTACTGGACCTGAAGACCCATAACTCACAAGAAACCTTGGCCACTTGGACCAGAAAACCATAGAGAAAACAGAAACCAAGAGAAAAAATACCCATTCAACAAAAACAAACACAGGAATAAACATAATAAAATTATAATCCTCCCAAATCCAGATGTCTAAATGCCAGTGTAATAACACAATCAATAACAGAAAGAATAATTATGTCACCACCAGAATCCAGCTAAACTATGACAGTAAGACCTGAACATTCCAGTGTAGCTGAAGCACAAGAAAAAGAACTTAAAAATAACTATGAAGAGGATAGAGACCCTTAAAGAGGAAAAGAAAAACACCCTTGATGAAATGAAGAAAAGACAAACAAAAAATGGAGGGAATCAATAAATCCCTTAAAGAATGACAACAAAGTGAAGAAAAAACAAACAGGTGAATGAAACAGTTCAAGACTTGAAAATAGAAATAGAAGGAATAAAGAAAACACAAACTAAGGGAATTCTGGAAATGGAAAATCTGGGTTATCAAAGAGGAATTGCAGATACCAGCATCATCAACAGAATATAAGAGATGGAAGAGAGAATTTCAGGCATTGAGGATACCACAGAAGAAATAGATTCATCAGTCAAAGAAAAATTGTTAAATTCATTAAATATACAGATTCAGTACAATCTGCATCAAAATCCCAATACAATTCTTCATAGAGCTCAAAAGAACAATACTCAACTTCATATGGAAAAACAAACAGCCCAGGATAGCTAAAACAATCATGTACAATTAAGGAAATTTCTTTTTTTATTTTTGTTTTTTAAAGACAGGGTTTCTCTGTGTAACAGTGCTAGCCCTTGTAGACCAGGTTGGCCTTGAGCTCACAAAGTTCACCTGTCTTTGCCTCCCGAGTGCTGGGATTAAAGGAATCCCTGCCTGGCAATAAAGGAACTTCTGTAGGTATTGCCATCCCTGACTACAAGCTCTACTATAGAGTTATAGTAATGAAAACAGCTTGGTATTAGCATAAAACAGACACAGGGATAAATGGAATCAAATTGAAGACCCTGACATAAATTCACACACCTATG